ACGCTGTAGACCAGGCTGGCCTTGAACTCACAGAGATCTGTTTGAATTTTACTTCTTTGCATTGTTTATTGCAGTTTTCCTTATTATACTGCTTAAAAATCTTATATTTATTTATTTTGTGTTTGTGTGTGAGAGAGAGTGTGTTTGCGATTGCTACTACGTTCATGTGCCATTATGCAACCCTGCGGAGATCAGAAGACAACATTCTGGAGTCAGTTCTTTCATTCTATCATGTGGGCCTTAGGCATCAAATTCAGATTTTAAGACTTGGCAGCAAGCACCTTTACCTGCTGAGCCAATTTACCGGCATTTATTTGCTTTTTCTTTTCTTTTTACTTATTTTAAGGTGTTAGTTTTAGTATTTTTGGAATATTAAAACCACTTTTTATTCAGTGTTATTTCAGTCAACACTGGCCACTTTCTAAGGAACATAATGCAAATGTTTTAATAAAATTCAGTTCTGCAAAAGTGATGACTTCCATCTAATACCCTACTGTTGGACATGTGACAAGATCCACTGGGTTAGCAGAACAGACAGAATAGAATGAAAATTTTATGTATTAGTCACAATAAATAAGAAAAACCCTACAAATAACTTACATATTTTCAAAGCATCATATAGTTTGGCTTAATATTTTGATTTGTTTTAGGTTTTAGTTCTCTTTTTTTTTTTTGAGACAGAGTTTGACTATCTCATTCAGGCAGGGACCAAAGTAGAGATCTTCCAGTTTCTGCCTTTTAAGAACTAGCTAGGATTGTTTAGTGATAACGTCTCTAATCTTATCATGTAAATCAAAAATGTAAGATAACAATCAATTTATATGATAAGCTATTACTGATATTTTGTCATGAGTGTCCTTCAATGAAAATAGGTCATATATAAGTTCCATAAGAAACATACATTTATAAGGTGTCTCCTTTACTCAAAATTTTGTTTGTGTACTTTTTCGAAATCACAGCTGACATGATTTTGATTGGTCAATGTGAGAACTCCCTCAAAATATGTATGATTTCTCAGTATAGTGTGGGGTTGTGAGGAGAAGAATAGGTAGTGACCAGATTCATTTCTGTCAACTCTATACTAGCAAAAAGATGCACACATCAGGTGCTACTACACATGGTAAGTATTGAGTCCCAGAAAACCTGTGGACTTTTGGGAAGTGAAGACTCAGAAGAAATGACATTGTAGCTGCTGCTTTCAAATACTTGGAGTTTGCTCACTAGCGGTCATGACCAGTGCTTGGAAAGTATCTTAAATTGCCACATGTAGTGTCGTGTGTGTGTGTGTGTGTGTGTGTGTGTGTGTGTGTGTGTGTGTGTGTGTGTGTGTTCTGTGTGCAAAACAGGTTAAAAATGACTTTATACTTGTGAACTGTAACCTAACTTGATGTATATCCTAACCTTGTTTTTAATAGCTGAGTTTCTACCAATCTCAAGTGGTCCATTCTTCAAATTATGTTCAAGTACAACAGATCAAAGCCCTAATAACTCAGGCTTCTGCGCTTCTGTTTTACATATTCTACTTTTTTCCCCTTTTCACTGGCTATAAATACAACCTGCCCAGATGGTGTAGTGGGTTATTTGGAATGACTTTTGGGATAACTGCTGGAATCTGGAATTACAAATATAACCAAACAGGATGTAAAAACATAGGATTTTTTTTTTATAATTTCTTCTTTAATCAGTGTGATTTAAAACACATCAACAGGGACTGAAGAGATGGTGAAGCAGTTAGGAACATCTATTGCTCTTATAGATGACCTGGTTTGGTTCCCAGCACCCATATGACAACTCAAAACTGCCTACAATGTCAGTTGAGAAAGGGTCAGATTCCTTTTTATGGATGGCTAAGCATGTACCTGACGTGCATCTTTTACACTTAAACACATGCAGGCAAACACATACAATAAAAATAAATAAATAAAAATAAATATTTTTAAAGGCTAAGAAAAGAATTCTCAAATATATGTGTTACCGATGCATATAGTATAGAGAAGATAAATAATTTATTGTGATATGATTAAGAAAACCTACATACTGCTGTTTTAAGTGTTTTAGTTTTCTCCTGCTTTTAGGTGTTATTACTATCATTTGAAAGTGTGACATATCTTATTCTTCATGTTAGTTATTATCAAGGCTACTTTGGCCATGTCTGTTCCATCTCCCAGCAATACGCACAGGAAAAGACTTTTCTAGAAATTGCTTCTCCCATGGGTACCTTTCTCATGAATTATACAGAAGTCCCTGACAACATTCTAGTCTTGTTAGATACCAGAGCTCTTCCTTTCGTTGGCAACAATCTCAAGTCTTTTCTTGCCTGGGGAAGTTTCTACTTGATGTGCTCACCTTCTACAGAGCTTCAACCCTGTCACAGAGGCTCTGCCATTATCTGTGACATGAATAAAGGACATACCAGCAAGAGTGGTCTACAGTGTGCAAGGACTGCTCTAGAACACTAGTCTTTAACAAATTGTTTAATCAGCTTTTCATAAGACTAACACAGTCCTTACTGAAATGGTGTAATTTACATTCTAGGAATGACAAAGGGCCTCCTCTTGATTGATTTGACAGTGTGGGTAGCTGCCAGGTAAATCTGGCAAGCAAAACTGTTTTAATTGGCCCATAGATTTTAATCAATGTCCTGTATTTAGGCATAATAAATTCTCAGATAAGAATGAAGCTTGTCAGAAAGATGATCAGATCTGCTAAGTTCAGGTATACAACTGACTGAATCTTTGCCGACTTATTTATATAAAATGGTGTGTAAATATTTTCTGTCTGCTTTGTCTCCCCACTGCATTGTGAGTTCCCAGAATCTTCACGCCATGCTTATTATTCAATATTTAATTTCTATGTGTGGAATAAATAAAGATATGAATGGGCCAGAAGGCCTAAGGTCAGTTCTCCCCGACTTATTTGTTTTTAGTTGATACATGGTTCCCTTTTCCCTCCCATCTCTAAGTGACCACAATACTCTATTCTTGACTACAAGATCAATGGGTCTGGATTCCACATGTGAGCCAGGGCATGCCCAATTTGTCTCTCTCTGCGTGACTTAACTCATTTAGAGCAAAGTGCTCCGTGACTTCTTTGTAAGGCTGACAAATGTTTTGCTGTGTATATTTGTCACATTCTCTTTGTTCACTCTGCTACTGATGGACATTTATGTTGATTCCATGTCTTAGCTCCTGTAAATAGTGCTGAACTAAACAAGGAGTGCTGATGTTTCTCTGACATCTGGTTTCCTTTGGAGACTAGTAAGATTGCTGGACTATGGGGTAGTTTAACTTTTCGAGGGATCTCCTTACTGTTTTCATAACGGGCTACTCATTCTCATTCTGACCAACAGTGGATGGATTCCCCTTTCTCTGTGTTTTTACCAGCATTTGTTACTTACCTTATGGCAATAGATATCCTATCTCATATGAGGTGATATTGCAATACAGTTTTGACTTGTGTTTTTTTGATGGTTAGAGTTAAATGTTGTCTCTAAATCATCTGTTCTCTCTCTCTCTCTCTCTCTCTCTCTCTCTCTCTCTCTCTCTCTCTCTGTCAGAAATGCCCAAAATCTAAACAAATAGCAAGGTTTCTTCATTCATAGACTAGAAGAACTGATGCTGTTAAAATGTCCGTAGATGCATAGTATACTGTGGGTCTGAGACTCATTGAGATCTTTACTATATAACTTCAAATACCTGTCTTCACAGGTATAGAGAAAAGATAATCAATGCTGAGGCACATGTAGAACCATAGAATATCCCCAAATACCCAAAATGATTTCAATCAGCGGAAATAAAAGTGGAGATTTCAGAGGATCTGGTGTTAAAATAAACTACAAATGATAGTAACCAATATAACATGCATTGACGGAAAAAAAAATACACACAGAACACAGGAAATGGAAGGAGAGCCCAGAGCTTTGTCAGCATACTTATAACCAACTGGTGTTTTACAAGTCCACCAAGAACACCGTGAGGACAGAAGAATTTCTTCAGTAAATGATGCAGAGACACTGAATAAGCACATGCAGAAGGAACAGTGGATTGAGGATTTGCACATAAGACTTGACTCTGTGAAAATACTAAGAACTGAGAAACACTTCGGGACATTGGTACAGGCAACACCTTTTAGCTAAGCTCTCAACACCACAGGCAACAGAGGCAAAAATAGACAAATGAGATTACACTGGACTGAAAGTTTACTCAGCAGAGGACATAATAATAGAGTGAGGAGTAAAACTATAGAATGGTAGGAAATGTTTTCAAAACCCACATTAGAGTAGATGGGAATTTATAAAAAATTCAGAACAGCTCAGCAGCAAGGAAACAATTTAATTTTAAAAAAGAATAGTATGTAAGACCAAACTGAATGAATAGGCATCTTTTCAGTCAGCTCTCTACACTCTTCCTCACTGCATTTGAAGTTTATCCTGCAAGAGATCTTATTCAAACCCAGGACTTCATTTATCAACTCTACCAAAAAGAAAAGTCCCCAATGCTGCCCTGTTTCCTGAACTCTAATCTGTCTCTGAACTGTCCCTCAACTATGTGGCTCTAGCAGGAGCCTAATCTCTCATCAGCCAAAGTGTACTTTACAGCTGAATGCCCATTGCTTTTAAATGTTGTCCTTTTCATCCCACACACACAACCTTGAATCCCCAGCGGGCTTGCTTTTCTTTTTTTTCCTCACTGGATATATTCAGAGAGTTTCAGGTCAAGGTTTTCCACTCTTCAGTGTTCAGTGCCTCGGTTCTTAAAAATTAGTTTTCCTCCACTACTCAATGTCAAAATTTATGACCTTAGTAGTAAGAAATTAATCTCTTTGCCTCAATCCTGTTATCTTTTTATATGATACTAATAAACAAAATTTGTCACCTATTTATCACTTGTCTGCCAATTGCATTCTCTTAGGAATTTGAGCTGTACCACTAAACAAAAACACTGCCTTCAGAGTGCTGGGATTAAAGGCATGCGCCACCACGGTCCAGCCTTTTTCCCAACATATAGAGGAAAGCCGAATGGCAGCTGCAGGCACTGTGCTGGCCTGGGCTGTCAAAGTCCCTCCAGTTTCTCTGGCATGCAGTTGGAGACCCCATGTCCACAGCCAGTCATAGCCCTTAGAAACATGGTACTTTATTTCCTGAATACTTTTCTAACTACTAAATCGTCTTCATCCCCACCAGGAACTTTCTGATCAGAAAAGTCATCAGTGGTGATCTAATGCTTCAGAGAAGACATATGCCCAATGGCTAGCTGAGTACAACTGAGCTTAGGTACGGAAGGAGTCATTGTCCTGTCCCTGTGTAGAGGAAACCCAATAGCTAATAAGGAAAAAAAACTTTAAAAATGATGATGACTTGGATATAAAAGCACTGCAAAATGATATGTGAGTTTCATATGTCAAAATTTTTGATAATCTCTACATAATGACAAAAGTTCCTAAAAGCAGCATTCCCTTCTAAATTGAATCATGAAGATATAAAAATGCTTGGATGGAAGCCGGGCGGTGGTGGCGCACGCCTTTAATCCCAGCACTCGGGAGGCAGAGCCAGGTGGATCTCTGTGAGTTCGAGGCCAGCCTGGGCTACCAAGTGAGTTCCAGGAAAAGGCGCAAAGCTACACAGAGAAACCCTGTCTCGAAAAACCAAAAAAAAAAAAACAAAACAAAACAACAAAAAAAAAATGCTTGGATGGACTAATATCCAATAAATACACGAGATCCAAGATAAAATATCTGCCAACTATTCCAGAACAACATAGGTAATTTACGTTTTTCTTTCCTATCCTGATCTTCTGGCGTCATAAGAAAGACATTATTGCTAAATCCAATATCATGAGATTTTCCCTAACACAAACAAACACACACTCATTCACACACACTTATATTTATGTAAGTTTCAGCTCTTGCATGTGTAAGTTTTTGATATAGTTTGAGTTAACTAACATAGTCATTCCATTTATGTCCTCTTTAATTCTCATCAGCAAGATTTTGTGGTTTTTAGCACACAATTTTTTTTTTTTACTTTCTGTTAGGTTTATTCTTACATATAGTTTGTTGTTGATGCTATTTCATATTGAATTATTTTCTTAATCTTTTTGGATTATTTGTCAGTACACAGGAATACAGTTGATTTTTTCCTGATGATTTTGCATCCTGCTGCTAACTGAATTTATGATTACTACTAGTAGTTGGGGGGTAGATATATATGGTTATCTTTATTTGCACAATAATACATGTTAATAGTTGATTCCTCTTCATTTGGAATTTAGCGACTTTCTCTCCCCTGCCTCTTACTAGAAATTTTCCTCTGAGAGGCAGACAGGACAAAAATAGTCATTTCTATTTTGTTCTTTCTCTTGGTGGGAGAGTTTTCAGTCCTTCACTAGAGAATGTGATGACAGTTACAAGGTTTGCATGTGTGACCTTTAACATGGTGAGTTATTTTCTGATTTCCAGTGTGTTGATGGTTTTTAACATAAGAAAGAATTGACCACTAAATGCCTTTCCCACTCTGATTGACACAGCCAAATGGTTTATTTTTTTATTCTGTTAATATGATATAGTATGTTGAATGTTTTTATGTGTGGAATCATTCTCACAACACAGTGATAAATCCTAGTTGGCAGTGGCTTATAATACTTTTACTATGCTATTCTCTTTATGTTACCAACTCATGGCTGAGAATTTGCATTAGTATTTATCAGGGATATTGATGTACAGTTTCTTGTATTTTGCCTCGTTTGGGCTCAGGATACTCCTGACCTGGTAATCCCGATAGCAGGTATTTTCTTTTCTATTTTTATGGGAGCTTATGGAAAGGGTTGATAAATCCATTAATATATCTTCTATTTTCCTGGATGCTCCTTACCTACCTCTTCACTCAGCTAGCTCTCATTCTTCAGTTCTTATCCCAAAGCCTCTTACCCGAGGAGATCATCATTAGCCATTCTTCTTTAGCATGGTTTCTCAGACCCTCATTTATCAATAGCACCAGATACAGTGATACTTTCTAACTCTGCAATTATTTGTATAGATTTCATTTCTATCTGCTATCATAATAGTAAGGTAGCTGAAGGAAAGAGCAGTATTTCCTGTATCTGTCCACGCATCCTGGGTTCCCCATGCCAGGCACATATTTGACCCTCAGTAAATTCTAGTTGACTAGCTGGATAGTGAAGGAATCCATGGATGATTATCCTTGGCACTCTAGTCACCTACCTTCAGGCTTTTCCTGTGATTCATGCTTATTAATTCTCAATCCCTCTCTTCAAAGCTGGTTTTGGTGGTGTTTCGCTACCCCTCTTTCCAGACCACTCTTTCTTGGGTGCTCAGAAAGTTTCTGCTGCTGACTCTGTTCTTTGCACATGGCTGCCTTACGTAGTGAGCTCAAACCAATAAGTAGATGGATCAGATCAGTCCAGTCAAAGATCTCCAGTACTGTAACAGAGCCCAGTTGTTCTCATGACTGAAGCCATCAAGTCCTGGCTATGACAAAGCATTGGAGCACACAAAAACAGGGACAATAAATAGGCTTTGAGGATGTGGAATTTACACTTAGCAACATTGAGTAGATTTCAAAGAAGTAGTGTTTTTGTTCTGAATTGACTGCTATGATCAGGAAGTAAAGGCAATTCTATGACTAGGCTATTTAACAGTTATTATCTAGGCAGTAGAAAAGAATGGCACACAGCCAGAGCTGTAATTAGTGAAAAGGTATTTGGTCTTTTTTGTGGTTTGGATAATGTGCTTGCTTTTGTATGCTAGGATTTGATTACAGAGTGCTCTGATTGTTGTTTTGTTCCATCAAAGTCAGAGTGGCTTTGTCTGCATTTGTCTTTTCCTGAAATCATGTTCAGAAGGGGAACGCCGTATCCTAGCTGCCAGTACCATGCTAGCTTTCCACAGTAGGAAGGTATTGTCATAGCTCCTGGATTTCAGAAGTGGTTTTCCTTCTTAGAGGGAGTCACCTCAATGAGGAGCAGAGTGTTCAGGAGGCTTTCCACACCAAGACTGTTTGTCCCTAAGTCTAAGACTACAAGCAAGTTTCTAGGCAGGCAGATTGTGATGGGCAGATAACAGAGTTTTAAAAAAGAACATTTTGTTTTTCATTTTATCCTAGTTTCAAAGTCTTGTTATGTTATTGAATTATGAAGTTAGATAAATAAAATCCCTTCCTTACTGAGAGATGCAAGGCATTTATTGGCCTGTAGTCACTATTATAACCACACAGATGAGTGGAAAAACACAGCAGCCTTCAACATTACCTCCCAAATCCACAGCTTCTCTGCAGAGTTTGAATAATTTCCCCAAGATTATCTATACTTTAACACAAAGGAAACGGACAATTGGACTTTGAGAAAGTAAATCTGCCACGGATGCTGGTGTGACATGTGCTAAGACTGCTGAGAAGGGACCAAGTGGACTCTGCAGTGTGAAGACAGTAATAAGTACAGGCTGCTGCCTTTTGTGCACTTTGAGGTTTTATATTAAAGCAGATGGTTATCTGATAACAGAAGTTGCATGGCTCACAGGAGCAGGAAGCACTGTGATTTACCCAAATTCTTCTGGGATCAGTGAAGCCCAAACTATAGAGGGTTCCAGAAAAATCACTCTGTACTTCCTTCTATGAGAAGGCTTTGATCTTATCTAAGACTAGGCAAAGGCAGTAATTTGTCTCCAGGTCAAATCTGAGCCGAGACAAAACACTAAGCCATTGCTGACGTCTTCTTGACTAAAGCAACTCAAAGTACTACATGGTTATAAGTTTTTGTAAGGTCAATTTTACAGCTTAATTAAAGCAAATAAGCTGTAGGTGTGTGTGTGTATATATATATATATATATATATATATATATATATATATATATATATATATAGTGTGTGTGTGTGTGTGTGTGTGTGTGTGTGTGTCATAATCTGAGAGGAGGAGGAGGAGGAGGAGGAGGAGGAGGAGGACGAGGAGAGAGAGAGAGAGAGAGATATGGGGTATTAGAAATGTGTGTCTGAGGATAGAAGCCCCTCAGCCATAAAGGGACTCAGAACACAGGGACAATCTAATCTTCAGTACTTGTGTATCTGGCCCTAGTAGGTTCTTTTCATCATTTCCCAAAGATTTACCACTTTCACATAGTTCTTTTCTTTCTTTCCTTTTTTCTCTCTCTCTCTCTCTTTTTTTTTTTTTTTGATTTTCTATTTTTTTTTTTTTTTTTGAGACAGGGTTTCTCTGTGTAGCTTTGTGCCTTTCCTGGATCTCACTCTGTAGACCAGGCTGGCCTCGAACTCACAGAGATCCACCTGCCTCTGCCTCCCAAGTGCTGGGATTAAAGGCATGCACCACCACCGCCCGGCCCCACTTTCACATAGTTCTAATACTTTCTTCATGTTAGCAAATAGTTGACTTGTAACATTATGAAGAGAAAAAAAAAAACTATTAGGAAGACCTATTCATCCTACATAAAAAGATGTTGTATAGCACCTTAAGACCTCAAGGGTGAGGAATCACTTCTGCCTGCTGTTAGACCTTCTACCCCATTACTTCTTGCCTTCTCACAGAGCCTGTCTCATGAATAATTTCTCTCTCTCTGTCTCTCTCTTTTTCAAAAATGCCTGTAAGAGAGAAGAGACATTCCCTCTTCTATTCTAACGTATAACATGACCACCTTTCCTCATTAGAAATGTATTTTTATAAATACTTTGTATTTTTAAAAAGTGGTTTTTGCATTTGATATAACTTATATATAAATATATATGCACATGCAAATTATGCACACATTAATATGAGATTTTCAAATTTTATTTATTTTTTATTTATTTTACATAACCAACCACAGCTTCCCTTGCCCCACCTCCTTTCTGTGGCCCCATCCACTCCTCAGAAAGGGTAAGGCCTCCCATGGGAGTCACCCAAGCATGGTATATTAAGTTGAGGCAGGACCAAACTCATTCTCCCTTCATCAAGGCTGAACGAGGCATCTCACCATAAGGAGCAGGTTCTAAAAAGCCAGCTCATGTGCCAGGGACAGATCCTGTTTTCACTGCTAGGGGCCCCACAAACAGACCAAGCTACATAACTGCCACCCACATGCAGAGGGCCTAGGTCGGTCCCATGCAGACTCTCTAGCTGTTGGTCTA